AGTGGGTGACTAATATAAACTTGCTCATCTTGTAGCTTTCTAGAGGCAGGCAGCCCAGCTACACGTTTTCTGTGCCCCTAACTGCTGCTGTTCTTTCATCTGGCACATTTCCCTTTGCCCTAATGAGGCATGCTAGGGAAAAGAGGTAAAATGTGGAAAAAAGGTTCTCTCTGCGTTATTTCTCATGAATTGCAATTGTAACATTTGAGTAGGAGAAGAGGTGAGGAAGTGGAAATTAAATCACAGGCCAAAATAAAAATTTGCATCAATTTCGAGATGTCATTGCAAAATAAAATCTTGCCTTCTTCCATTAGTTTCACTTATTAATATTTGGCTATATAAGTAAATTGTGATTATTGTTTGTGAATGTAAGCATAAGGTATTTTAACATTGAAACCCTAGTAAAGAATTTTTGATAAAATAGTGTTTTTTGATGAAGTTTTTTACCACAGAACTTTTGGTTTATGAACAGTTTTATCAATTTGTTGGCTTAAATATATTTATTTACTTTTTGTAAATGTGTGTTTTTAACAGCAGGAACTTCAAATACAGATTTTGACAACCTTGCGGATACTGATGTTTATTCTTCTGACACTGAAAAACTAGGGGGAAGCAGCTTTTTTGAAAGGAATTTAAAAGAGATAAGTATAGATATAGAAAGTAATCAAAAGTCTGATGATTCTTGCATATCACTTGAGAATAAGGATTCTTTGCCAAGTACAGATTTAGAAAAACCTTCTATCGAGGAGAAATTATCTCAACACATCAAAGAATCCTTGGGATTTATCAATATTCATGAGAGGCCGAAGTTTGAAGATTCTAAAGCTACAGAATCAGCACTGGTAAATCTCTGTTTATTATGTTAAAATTTTGATAAGAAATTTTATTCAAAAATGTCATGTTGACACAATATATTCTTAAATGTTACTTTCTATTAAAGTTAAAATGTGCTACCTTATTTTATCATGAGGTAGTTTAAGAGTAACTCATATGGGAAAGAACATTAAGGACCTATAGGACAAATTCTAACATAATGTATGCCATTTTAACAAATGATTTTCTGTGACAAATAATATTTTAAGGCCCACTTCATGCACCATAGTTAAGAGTGCTGTTACTTTTGCAAATGAAATTCATTATTATGAATAACATAGTGTAATTAATCCTTTCTAGCATTTTACTATAATATAGTTACTGGTTTAAATGAAATAAATGCAGATATGTGATTAGAAGATAAAAGCAGTTTCTGTGGTTTAATATAAGTATAAAGTAAAGAAGGCAATTCTTTCAGGAATATGACTAATAAAGAAATAGAGATAGAGTTTTTCTTTTTTTCTTCTCAGAGATAAAAAAGGGAAAGTAGTTAATTATTGCATGATTGCTAAATTTTACAACTATATTTGATTATTCATTCTATATTCTAGAAATCTTCAGTAATAATGATTATTAATAA